CATTCTTGATTTAAGAATCAAACATGGTCCTGCTGTAAAGATCGCATGTTATCTGAAAAGTTTGACTGAAGGAAGGGAGCATCAGTCAGAATATCCTGCGTATGTGGAATCCTGGTCAAAGGATCAGGTCAGCCAGTGGTTACTGGAGCATGTGAAGATTTACAGCAAATACGCACAACGACTTCTGAATGAAGATGTTTCTGGAGATTGCTTGATTTGCTTTATGAAGCAGGACTTTCTGGACCTCGAGGTGAAAAGTGGTCCTGCTGTGAAGATTCTAGCTCAACTGAAAAAGCTGAATAATGAAGAAGAACCAGTGCTGCAACCAAGCACTCAGACCAGTGTGGGCCAGGCAGAAGGAGATACATGCGTTGGACTTGAGAATAACCTGCCTCATACATCAGAAATTAATCAAGACATACAGGAAAAAACTGGATCACAAGGTCCCCCCGAAAGAACTTCAATCAAGACAGAAGAGAAGACAACAGAACCAGAACCTTTTGGACCAAAGCATAAAGTTGCAGTGGTAAGAGTTCAAACACTTTATCACACATTTAGCTAAATGCATCATACAAAGGGCTCCATAGAGGTGGTTCTCAACTCTGCTGCTTCAATAGCCCTGCTCTGTGTATTGTAGGCGTCTCCTTGTTGCTTCATACCTGATTTATATGAATAAATGATTGACATGCTTCTGCAGCACTTAATGTCATCTGAGAAGGTCGTGTTGGTATCTGGTGTGTTGCAATAGAGAGTAATCTGTAAAATGGAGGACGGTGGAACTTAAAGAACAGGATTGAGGATCCATCCTTCCGCCCATCTGTCCATCCCATTCTTTTGCATGTTAATTAAATAAGACTGCTTGGATTTATTGTGTCTACACCCTTTTGACAAAAACCGACTTGATAGACCTATGCTTCTGGAAAAAAAAATATAAAAACAAAATGTACACTGCTCAATAAAATAAAAGGAACATTCCAGTAACGCACCCTAGATCTGAATGAATGAAATATTGTAATTGATTATTTTGTTCTGTACAAAGCTTAGTTTATTAATTAATTAATTAATGGAGGCCTGCATTTTGGAGTTATACATAATATTCAAGATTCAGATTTGGGGAACAGGCAGGCCAGACCATAGCTTCAATTGCTGAGTTTGAATTCAGTGGGTGCGTCCTCCGATTACTTCATAGCACGGCACCGAGGCCTGTTCGGATTGGAAGACTCCTCGTTTTGCGGCCAACAAATGAAGCCAGGTTTTAGAGCTGAGGGAAGTTGGCCCCCCCACCTTCTTCAAATCAGACAAAATTTGTGTCAAATGTTTGTGCTGGTTTGTGCAGCAAAAAATTTCATCTGTACTGCTATCATTTTAATGATATTAATAATATTTTGTAGGGGTCATCAAAGGTCAGTTAACATCAGTTTTTGCTGCACAAACCAGCACAAACGGATCTGACTTAATTGACACCCATTTCGTCTGATTTGAAGAAGGTGGGGGGCTGGTTGACCTTTGATTACCTCTAGAAACATCTCTTTATATCTTTAAAATGATAGCGGCACAAATGATGGTGAAGGTGAATCCTACATAGCCTTGGGTATCCCGTGATCCATTGTTACTCCAAGCAATCCGGCTGCGCCGTGCTCAGAGGAAAAAGGGAAATGGTTCCAAATAGTGTTGAATATTGTAAGCGCAGTTTAACATAATACAGGTATGTGAACAGTTCCATTTGAAATGAATGAAAATGGCTGTTTTAAATGGTTATTGAGTCAGATATGTGGCGGTAATGTTTGGTTGATTGAAAGGTTTTTATCTGTCACTGTGTAAATGGGTTTGGCTGTAATTTAAAGACAGATTCGAATATATCTGCAGTGTGGGGACTGTAAATCTGATATTCGTGATGACTCTGCTGCTGTTGAAGCTTCTAGAAAATGTTATTAGCACCCAGAACATTCATAAGACGTTTGGTATCCATTCTTTACCTGCTTTGTGTGGCAACTTTCACGGTTGCTAGGCGACAGAGCATACAGGCGTTGGAAGCTGGAGAAGGCTGACCTGTTTGAATCCATAGCCAAAACTCTTCCAGGCTCCTTATTTTCACTGACTTCCAACCGGGTCCTTGTAGGAGACAGCCTCTGAAATTGAACACACTCAATGCCTTCATCTTTCAGGAACTGTTGACACACTCCAGCCACATGAGGTCTAGCATTGTTCTGAATTAAGAAGAACTCAGGGCCAACCACACCAGCACTCAGCAATAATTGCCACTAATTTCCTCCTGTTGTCTTTTCCATTTGCACAACAGAATGTAGAATTAATTGTTGATCAGTGTTGATTACTATGTGTACAGTTTGATTTAACAGAAGTTTGAGCTTATATTGTGTTGTTTATGTGTTCCCTTTTTTTATTTTGTGCAGTGTATTTGCTATCCTTGAGAAATTAAAACACATTCTTTTAAACTCTGGTTAAAAAGGCTAACAATGTTTTAAGAGTATTTCTTACCTCTGCAGGTCAATCCCCAGCCACAATCACCACAGACCACCATAATCATTAAAAACATCTTGGATGACCTCCGGAAACATGACTTGAAAAACTTCCACTTCTATTTATCAGAATATACAAAACCTAAAAGGAAACCTATTCCTCGTGGAAAACTGGAAGGCAAAGACACTATGGACACCGCCCAGATACTGACTGGTCATTATGGGGGTCAAGAGGCTTTACTGGTCACAAAAGACCTTCTGCAAGAAATTAACCAGCGTGAACTTGCTCGCCAGCTGGAAAAAGACATAGGTAATTTGAGCAGTGAATGCATATTTGAAAGAGCAACATTGCTTTTCTTACAGTGTTTAGTTTTCTGTCACTTAAAATGTTGAAGACCTGATGTAGATTTAATTTAATTGCATTAGAATAAAGCAGCAGGACATACCAGGTGGTTTGGAGTCATTAGGAATCCAATTGGCTTTAAATTTAAAACAAACATCCTACATTTCATAGCCCCACAGCAGTTTTTTTTATTTATAGCTAGTAAACACCCATTTCTGTGTGGTGATGTCAAAGGGAAAATACATTTGTTTCCTAAGCCATAACAAGTCTTTTGTTGGGCTACTTTGTAAGCCTGGAACTCAACGCTACTCCAGACGTTTTGAATTGAGAAAGCTCACTGGATGGGAAGCGAAACTTCTTCAAACTTGGAAAACAAAGTCCAGTAATCTGTTTATAAACTTTTTTGGAACTTTTGGAGCTAGTTCAACCTTCTAAAATGGACATCGAAATGGTTTGAGTGTTTGAGCCATCAGCCACTTCAGGCTCAGGAAAGGATAGTGATGCCAAGTAATGTTAAGGCATCACACTTTACAGGTCAGATCCCTCAAAAACAGATTTCCAGCCTTAGCAGCTTGCTGAAAAAAACCCCATAAGAGTTTATTTTACCTTTGGGGTAATTTTTGAATTAAACTGAGGGAAGAATAAACATCTGGCCAATGCCTGGTCTCAGTATGGCACGTTAAATTATTGTATTTCTCAAGAATTGGATCATGTATTAAACATAAATTGTTGGACAGGGACTGTGTAAATCCTTTTTGGGACCTTTGTAACATTTGGTGGGTTTGCAGTAGAATGGTCTTGTTATGCCTTTTTGGGACATGCCCATCAAGACACTTTGGTTCAAGAAAGGCTTTGGTATCTGGTTACGGTTACTTCACATTTATCATTTGTCAGGGTCTATTAAAGGGCTATTAAAGTTGTTTAAAGCTCTTGGAGAGTTTCTGAGGAGAACACTTTCTAATGTGGGTATCTGAGTTTACAGCAGAATGTTTGACTTTTTTTTTTACCAAGTCATGTGATTTTTCCTCAAAGAAAATGTTTATAATAGAGCATTTTCTGATTACTTGTTTTTTGGGTTTGATGCAGGTCAGCTGGAACAGCCACGTCTTTCCAGAGACGACATGAAGAAAGAAACTAACCAAGGAGATAAACTAAGGAGCCTATTGACATGTGGTGGGGACTCTTTGGAGAGTTATAACAGATTTGTTATTGTTGTTAACAAAAGCAATCCAGAACAAGTTCAATACCTTAATTTTCTAAGTAAGTTAAAACTGTTCTGTGTGTTGGACTTTGACCCCAACTCTGTAGCTGAAGGTGGACTGTGTCATTCATACAGAGAGTTGAGGGTGGCTAATCTGCATTTGCCAACACAATTTCAGGGACATACTGAAGCTGTTATAAACGAGCTCAACCTTTACCTCCAGACAAGCTGGGTCTTCTGTAATGGGAGAAATGACCTTGATGATTACAGGGAGTTAGACTATCGAACCTGGCTGAGAAAGTCTTGCAAAGATTTGGAACAGTTGGTTTCTTTCATCTGCAACCCTGATGTTTTGCATGATGGAAGATACCTTGTTATCTTCCTTCTCCTTTCCCCCGTGCACTCAGAGAAAGACCCGGTCCTTGACACTTACATGTCTTTTATTAAACACATAGCTGAGAGTAACATTATAAGCATTTGTGAATCTCAGAATACATATTTAAAATGGAGGGAACTTATAAAAGCAAAGTGTGACTTTGACATTGAACATTTGTCCATAAATGAGCTAAGTCTAAGTGAGATCAATGGAACCATAATGGGGCTTGGTCCTGTCACTCAGTCATCTACAAGGCTGCTTCCTTCTTCTGGTTCCAGTACTGTTGTCCTGAAACAGAAAGATGAAGATCTACTGACAGCTCTGGATGTTTTATGTCTGAATCAGTGTGAAAAAATATATGAAGAGAGCAGTTCAGAGTTTCATGACTTCAGAAAAACAGTAGAGGAGGAGTTCTACAGAGGAGCCAAAGTGAGATGGTGGAACTTTTACTTCTGTGACGAAAATGCAGAGAGGCCATTTATCAAGAGAGAAAAGTATGAACATGTGAAGAAAATGATCAGATCACACAGGACATCTTCAAGCAACACCTGTGTGCTTCTAACACTGTTTCATGACCCAGGATGTGGTGGTACCACCCTAGCAATGCATGTGATGTGGGATCTCCGTAAGGAGTTCAGGTGTGCTGTTTTGAAAGACAACACGGTACCAAAAACAGAGGTGGCCAACCAGGTCCAACATCTGATGAAGCTGGAAAGTGAGACCCCATCCCCGGTTCTGCTTCTGGTTGATGACTCAAAGGAGATGGACAATGCATTTGACCTGCTGATCTGCATCCGCCAAGCTGTAGAGGATCTTTCAGACATTCATTTGGATGATGCTCCTAACTGTAAGGTTATCATCTTAAACTGTGTACGTTCCCA